TCAGCTTCTAAATGAAAAAATATCCAGGAACATTCCCTATGAGTTTCTTTGTGAGCTAGAAAAGGAACTAGAAATGCCTGAACAATGGCAAAAATTGGCAGCCAAACTTGATTTTTCATATTCATCAATATGTAACCTAAAGAAAGCAACTTGCCCTATCAATGCACTTTTTGATAATCTCGTCGCAGAGCAGAAAAAAACATATAAAGACCTTTGCAACGCTTTAGAACTTATTAATAAAAGATGCATGGCATTAAAAGTTGTGACTTTTTTAAACTAGTTTTAAAAAATTTTTAATGAATAAGTTCGACAATTGTTTTTTAAAGTTATAAAATATTGGTTGCATCTTTTTTTAACCTGACAGTTTCTAAACAAAATTTATTCTTCAAAAAGTATCAAGAATATTTTTAAAACCTGATTCCGCCACACTCCTCCTTCCCCCTCCTGCTATTTTTACTTTTAAAAGAGCAACCAATAGAGTTTTATAAACACATACCAAATATCTTATCAAAAATGTATTTTATAAATAAAAAAATGCTTTTAAAAATATATTCCATGTATAATTATATAAATTGTTTATATGGATTAACTAATAACTAATATAATTGTGTACGTAAAAAAATAAAAAACATTTTTATGGGCATAACTTGCTTTATGTTTAATGTCTTGTTATGTTATTGTTTTAAATGTGTAAAATTCTATTGTTGTGAATGCTATCGTAATAAATATGATGAATGCTATTGTAATAAATATGTTGAATGCTGCAGGATTGTCCATAAATTACCCAACGCTAAATTTAACTAATAGACAAAACAAAAAAAGAACAAAAGTTTTGCAGAGTCTTCAATTAAACTAAAATAGCCCTATAAATCCAATGAAAATTGCCGCGCAATTTTTTTTTTTTACTACTACTTTTACTACTACTTTTACTTATTTTTTACTAATTCTACTTATTTTTTACTACTTCTACTTATTTTATTTACTACTTCTACTTTTTAAATAATTTTATCGTTGCTTAATTTATGGACGATTCCATAGCATTCAAAATATTTTTTTTAATATGTAAATTGTAATTAATATGTTGAATGCTATTGTTGTAATATATATATGTTGAATGCTATCGTAGTAAATATGTTGAATGCTTTTGTTATTTTAATCGTTGTAGTAAATATGTTAAGTGTTTTGGAATATTTAAATTAATATCAGTGAATTATTTAGAAGAGTATTATACGTCGTGCTTTTTATTTTATTTATCTATTCTAAACTTCTTTTTTTAGCGATATTTATCGGTTCTAACTTTTTTTTTTTTTAACGATATTTATCTATTCTAAACGACTTGTTTTTAATGATATTTAAAAGATTCTGTTCTTTTTTTTTTTTTTTTTTGCTGTGATTTCCAAAAAAAAACATTCTTGGTTTTATATTTCAATTTTTTTTTGTTAATAATATTTTGTTTGAAATCCTGGATTAATTTTTTTATTTTCAGAATATTATATAGAATGTTTAACTGTATTCTTTATTAACAAAAAGTTTTTTGTATAAAAGATATGCATTTTAATAATTATTTTTTTTAGTCATCTGTTTTTATTTATTTACTTTTTTTTTTTTCCTAATTTATTTATTAAGATAACTCTTTTTTTTACTTTTTTTTTTTAATTCAACACAAGTTTTGTGCGTTATTAAATGTGCACATTTCCTTTTATTCGAGAGCGCTCGGGAAATAATAGTCCAGATCATAGAGTTTTTTTTGTTTTTTTTTTTAATTGTGTAACAAACTTTGTATTATTTGGCATATTTCTTATGTTTCCCGAAATTTTGGTTTAAATTTGGATTTAGTTGAAAATATATTTGAAAAATTTTATTGTTTTCAGCAAAAATATAGCTGAAAAAAAAAAAATCCAATTTACCAAATAATTATGACATCTCTCAGTGTATGCAGTTTAGCTGCTGGTAATTTATTTGCGGATATCAAATACTCACCTAGGGGATCGTCCATAAATTATGAACGCAAAATATATTTTATAAACAAAAGTAGTATTATGCTCTTTTACGCGGCGATTTTCATTAATCTTAATAAGCTATTTTGATTTTTTATTTAAATTAACTCTGCAAGGGAAAACTTTTGACCTTTTTTGTTTTGTTTATTGTGAAAGTTTGCGTTACGAAATTTATGGACGATCCCTAGACAAAAATCTTTTTTCTTTATTGATAAACATCATTCAATAATAATTTGTATCTAACAATTTCATTAAATTTTGTATAGTGTATTTTTATAAATACACTATACAAAAATATTTTCCAATAAATATTTTCCACTCGAAATTATAATCGTAACTTTAAATAATTTATACAAAATTTTAAAATTGTTATTAAGTCGTAAAATAACTCAATGTACTAACCAGTTAATTATTTAAAACTACTAAATAAAAGGTTTTAACTTAGATGATATCGATATCGAACTGGTATGCGACGATCTTAAACTATATAAGGGGCTGTCTATTAATTACATCAACAATTTTTTTTTTAATTTTTACCTTCTTCTCTTCCTTGTCAACAATTTGTCAAAGTTCCAGATAAATAAAATTATATATATAAAATTACGTCAATTTTTGATTAGCTTCCTCCCCCCCCCCCCCCCCCTCCTCCTCTATACAAAATAGCTACGCTACAAACTCAGCCTAATTTTCCGTTATTTAAGCAATGAAACTCAAAAAAAAGAATTGTTGACATCAACTTTAATTGACGTAATTAATGGACAACCCCTAACGTTGTTCCTATATATTCTTATTAAATCAGATTTTTAATAGTTTTCTTTTTGTTAATTAATTTCTAGAATTGTACTATCAAATAGTTAGATTACGTTATTGGATAATCAGTGCTTGAGTATATGGCTTGCATTGAGAGTGTTTTTGAAATTAATAATGCAAAATATTTAATGTTTTTTTTTTCATTTTTGTTTTAGAAAAATGCTCAAACATACTGTATAATATTTATAAGTAAATCAAGACAGTGCATAAGAAATTTATTTTTTGTAATTGTCTGTGCTTTTTTTGAACAAGAGGTTTTCAATTGATCACGCATTTTCCTCTAACATTATTTAGGAGGTCTATAAAATGCAACATTAGGAGGCTACAATAAATGATTAGTGTTACTAGTTATATAACTTTTTTCTTCACAACAAAATACTATTTTCTTCAGTTACTTCAAATAACTGAAGAGATTGCTTAGATTATAACTAATAGAAACTTTTTTGCAATTTGACAAAAGACAATGACAAACTAAAAAAACAAATAGAATCACACTGTCCTGAGTTTGATTGTGTAGTACATTAGGTGGTCTACTTTCTGTTCTTTTTGCCTTTAAGCATAACCAGAGAGGATTTGACCATAAGCACCAAACATGATTGAGGTAACATGTTGTACAATTGCTAATTTTTGCATATTTGTAAAACCAATGAATTTTTTATGTGTTTTCAGATAAGGATTATACAAAGTGGCAACTTGCCTCTACTGAACATTTAATAATTTTTTATATGGTAAACCACTATTGTTGCCATAAAATTTGAAAATTAGCACTCAGTATAATTTATACTACCTTGTATCAATTTTTTTTTTGTGTATAAACGTGGGATAGTAATGATGTGAAATGCTAAACAAAACTTAATTCAACGCAATATTGAATGTACATATATGAGATCTTTTTTATATAAGATTTAAAATTTATAAATATACACAATCTTATATACACTTATAAATTATGCATAGATTTATATATCTATATATATGTATATGTATAGATAAGACGTAAACAATTCTAGGAGCACCTTAATAACCAAAAAAAAATTGTGGACGGAAGAACCCAAAATAAATGTTTTTGGAACAAAGTGCAACGAACAGCAGTAAAAATTTCAATCCACAGCTTATACAGCCTACTCAAACACTTTGGCGTTTCGTAAATGTGTGTTGAAGTGTTTTACTTCTAATTAGGTAAGTAACCTCGTAAAAGTCCTTTTTTATATAAACTCTTTTTTATATAAACTTTTTTAAATAACCTCGTATAAGTCCTTTTTATATAAACACCTTTAATTATTATCAGCCCGAAACAAACTCTGAATCTTTTTACGATTTCAAAAATACAGATGTAATTGCTTTTAATTCTTATTTATCAAAAATAAGTTGGGACTTCGATTTTTCTTTTGTTTTTACAACTGAAGAGTATTGAAACATCTTTTCTAATCATCTTCGTAAAGGTATTGATCGTTTTGTTCCAATCAGAACAATATACCATAAGAAAAAAAAGTCGTTCTTATCCAAAGTATATTTATAAAATGCTAATTCGGAAATTTTTTTTATGGAAAAGATGGTCAATCACAAAGACCACCTTGCACAAAAAGGCATTTATCCAATATGCATCAAAATGTAAAAAAGCCATATCCACACACCACAAAAATGTGTAACTAAAACTGGTCAAAGAAAATAACTTAAGTAAGTTTTTTAGTTATGTAAATAAAAATCTAAACAACCCCAAAAAAATATATCCTCTAAAAACAAATAGCAACTTTACTACTACCAATGTTGAAATTGCGGAAGTGTTTAACAAACACTTTAGAAATGTTTTTACCGTAGATGACGGAAATTTGCCTAAAATAAATAATTTTGTTAGTAAACATATTAAGATAAATTTCGTAGATTTTTCAGCAAAGATAGTTTATCAAAAACTAAAAAATCTAAAACCTAGCACATCATTTGGACCTGACGGTATACCAAATATACTTTTAAAACAGTTAGCACATATATGTATTCCACTTTCATGTATATTTGAATCAAATTTTACGTCAAGCTTGTTACCAAAACAGTGGCTTCAAGCTACGGTTTCCCCTATTTTTAAAAAAGGATCTACTTCAGATGCTAACAATTATAGACCTATCTCTCTCACATGTACTAGCTGTCGTGTCATTGAAAGTATTGTTAGTTCAAGTATCGCTGATTATCTTAATATAAATAATCTAATAACACCTAATCAACACGGCTTTTTATCCAAAAGATCTATGTGCACAAATCTTCTAGAGTCAACTAATGACTGGAATAAAGCTTTAGACAGCAATTTAATTACTGACGTGGTATACATTTATTTTCAAAAAGCATTTGACACTGTACCTCATCCAAAACTTTTGAAGAAACTTGCAATGTACGGCATAATAGATAATCTGCTTCATTGGATATCAGCATTTCTTTCTAACAGATATCAAAGGGTTCTGGTTGGAAATTCACTATCTAATCCAACTAGCATCTTAAGTGGAGTTCCACAGGGTAGCGCTTTTTTGGTCTAACGTTATTCTTGTTATATATTAATGATCTACCCTCTATAGTAAAAGAACTTAATTGCTCTCTAATGTTATATGCTGACAATATCAAGTTATATAGTTTATTTAAGGATGCCGATTACAGTCAAGATCTTGCTATAGCCATTTATAAAGTTTATCTCCGGTCAAAAAAATGGCAATTTAAAGTAGCCAATAATAAGTGCTTTACTCATAGAACAGCGCCTACTTCATTTTGTAAAGATATAAATTACAACTATGAATTAGGCGATCATAATTTAACTTGGTCTACAAACCCAAAAGATCTTGGTGTGACCATGGATTCTTACTTAAATTACAGTAATCATATTTCAAATACCGTCCGCGCATCAAACATTCGAGGGTATCTAATTCTTGAGTGTTTTAAAAGTCGTGATCCACGTGTTATCGTTAAAGCCTACTCTACTTATATAAGACCGATCTTAGAATATTGCTTTCCGGTTTGGTAGCCAAATCGCACTGAAATGAACAGTACAGTGGAAACAGCACAAAGACGTTTTACCAAGAGAATTTCTAACCTAAATAATGTTTCATATTCAAGTAGACTTAATATTCTTGGTTTGGAACTACTAGAAATTCGTCGCCTTAAGCAAGACATGATTACATGTTACAAAATTCTGAACAATTTAGTAGGCCTAAATAAATCAAGTTTCTTTTTATTTAACAACTATATTTACACTCAAGAACATAAGTTCAAGTTACACAAACTAAAATGTAAACTCGATGTCCGTAAACACTCTTTCTCACTCAGGGTTGTTAATATTTGGAATAACATGCCGTCTGACGTCGTGAACGCCAAAAATATAAAGAGCTTCAAAATTAAAATTAACTCTATCGACTTTGAAAAATACTGTTCCGGCTAACTGGTTATTGATTTATAACTATGGTCTTATATATAATTGTAATATATATTTTAAATTATCTAGCATTTGTATTATGTGATTGTAGGGCACGTTGTCAGAGTCCTTCATATTTTATGGACCTGCGTGTTCTTTAGAACATGTATCACTGTTCTAATAAATTTTAATCTAATCTCTAATCTAATCTAAAGTAAGTGGAATTCTAATTATAACTAATTAACTTTTCAATTTTACTGTATAACTCGCAAATTTTATGGTTTTGAGCCAACTTGACGGCTTTGTGAAAGTTTTTTTGAACCATTAAATAACGATTAAAGTTTAGAGAGTCATTTAGTCTTATTTTAAGAATCCAGA